TCAGCTGCTGAGGGAGACAAACAGGTTCGCCAGTAACCATTAAGAAAAAGAATGATAACCAGAGTTGCCATTTACTGAGCACTTGCCACAAACCAGGCCCTTGGGCGAAGCAATTCCCACTGTTATCCCACAGAAGCCTTACGAAGCCCTCTAAGGCAGGTATTATCCCCATTGTACAGATGAGGAAACTGAGGCCGGGTTAGCTAATGTTGCATATACATGTATATAGGTAGAGGATTTGGTTTTAGAGCCCAGTATGTAGAACTCCAAGGTCAAATATTATTACCTGGGGGTGGGGGGGGAGGGGAGAGAGAGGAGGGAAGGCAGGTGTGTGGGTAGCTATGACTGTGGGTATTGGGCAAAGATGGGGAGGCTGGGAGAGTTGAGGAGGCAATCTGGCTGGATGTTTCTGGAAGAGGAAACAGCATGAGAGTCCAAGGAGGGAAGGGTTCAGAGGAAACTGGTTGGGGCTGCTGGGTCAGTGGGACATGGCAGGCAGAGAGGCCCTCTGGGTTGGGTGAAAGGTCAGAGCTGAGTCTAAGCAGGTAACCCCTGGGGCTTCTGACTCACAGATAACCCAGGTTCCCTCTAATTCCTTGCGAGAGGGTTGTCTCAGGCCTGAGCCCAAGGCTGGGGTGTGGGGAGGAAGGTGCCTACCCAACCAGTAGGGAGTGGGGGTAGCGTGCTCTGGGGTGAGGCTGGGCTACCCACAGCTCAGACTGGACCAGGCTGGTTCCAATCCCAAGAGAGCTCCCTTCCCTAGAGGGCAATCAAGAATTATGATAACAGTAACCACTTCATCTTCACTGTTCATCCAGTTAGGAAAGCGATGTTAGTTTTATGAAAATATGCAACATATATAGCACTTATTATGTGCCAGGCATAATTCTAAAGACGTCCCAGACGTTAATTCTTCTAATCCTCACAACCACCCATGAGGTATAATTCCCATTTTACAGGTGAAGAAACTGAGGCGTGTGGGATTTAAATAACTCGCCTAAGGTCATAAAGTAAAGAAGTGGGGGAGATGGGGATCCCAGTCTCCAGTATCCATGTGTTTAACCACTGTGCTGTGCTGGGGTGGGGGGCAAGAACACATATTCTGCTGTAAACCCTCCCGTTTTACAGATGGAAAGACTGAGGCCTAGCCAGATGAAGGGACTGGCTCAGGAAGTAGGGAGGATAATTACTGGAGGAAATCAGGACTCCTAATTCTAGCCTAGGCTCTGTCTTGGTCCCATTGCAAGCCCAGCTCTCAGCAGCTCTCCTTCGTCCCATCTCCCTGGCACCTATTATCGCACTGGGGTCTCTTTTCTTTCTTTTCTTTTATTTTATTAGGGAGTTGGGGAAGGGGAACAGTGTTGGGGAGTTGGGGAATGGGAACAGCCAAGTTGTTGTCCTTCAATCTTAGTTGTGGAGGGCGCAGCTCACTCAGCTCCAAGTCAAGTTGCTGTTAGGCCGCTCATTGGCAGCTCGCAGCAGCTCAGCTCAAGGTGCTGTGTTTAATCTTAGTTGCAGGTGGGCATAGCCCACCATCCCATGAGGGAGTCGAACCAGCAGCCTTGTTGTTAGGAGTACGTGCTCTCACTAGCTGAGCCATCCTGCCATCTGTTGGCAGCTCAGCGGCAGCTCAGCTCAGGCACAGCTCACTGACCCATGTGGGAATCGAACCGGTGACTCTGTTGCTCAGAGCTTGCATTCTTTTTTTTTTTTTTTAAAGATTTTATTAGGAAATTGGGGGAGGGGAACAGCGTTGGGGAAATTGGGGAAGGGGGACAAGTTGCTGTCCTTTTGTTCTTCAGTCTAGTTGTGGAGGATGTCACTTCACTGGCCCCTGTTGGTATTATCATTATGCTCTTCCCAGGTGAGGCAGATCGGTCACCGGTCACCGGACGGCTGCTCATGGTGGCTCTTGGCAGCTCACGCCTGCTGCTGGCCGCTCACGGTAGCTTACGGGAGCCCACTGCAGCTCTACTGCAGCCTATGCCATCGCTGGTGACTCATGGCAGCCCAACTCCAGGTTGAGCTGTTGTTCACCATCTTAGCTGTAGAGGGCAGTATCACTTGCCCTCATGTGGGATCCAAACCAGAGCCCTGCTGCTCAGAGCTGGGGTCCCAAGCCAACTCTTAACCAATGTGCCGCTCGGCTGGCCCCAGAGCTCGCATTCTTAACCAACTGAGCCACTCGGCCAGCCCTCTTTGGGGTCTCTTGAGGGCCCAATGGGGGAGCAAATAATCAGATTTCAATTCTGACACCATTTTCTTAAAGGCAAAAGCCAGTTATTCCTCTTCCCTTTTATTGTTTTTTTCTTTCTGACTACTAAAGGATAGCTGATCATTGCACAGCTTTTTACAAAGATTAGATAAAAAAATAAAGAAAAAGGAAAATCATCTTAAAATTTCTTCTTGAACACTGGTGTATTTTCAAGATTTTTTTGCTCTCTCTCTGTTTTTTATAAGCATTCAAGCTGGGAGGCAAGAGATTTGGTTTCTAGTCCTGGCTTGCTATGTGACCTTGGGCAAGTCCCTGCCCTTCTCTGGGCCTCAGGCTCACCTGTGAAATGCAACTTTGGACATGATGACCTCAGAGGAGGCCCCTCACAGCTCAGACCTTCTGTTTCTGGGACTGGCAGAAGGGACACAAGCAGGCTGCCTCTCTGAGGGGTATGCATGGCTGACAGCTCCCAGCACGTCACCCAGGGGAGGATGCGATGGCCCTATAAACAGTCTTCATTGCAGGCACAGCATTCCCAGGCCTGCCTGCTTACTGGGTCCATATGGTGCCCTCTGCCCACTGGACACCACCAGCTGCCCTTCACTAGCCAGCCCTGGGTAATTGCTTTTCCTTCGGGCTCCAGAATGCCCTCTCTACTGCCCCACCCCCAGATGGCTCGGAGTAAGAGAGCTGAGGGGCTCAGCCCTGAGGACCTATCTACCCATCGCCATAGAAAAGGAGGAGAAGACAGCCTGGTATGCAAAGCTAGAGAGAGGGAAGGAGGGAAGAAGGGAGGAAGGAAAGGAACATTGACTCTATTCCAACTCCATTTGGACCCCTTGCTAGGCATTTGGGATTCAGAAGTAAATCAGAAAAACTTAACTGCCCTTGAAGGACACAAAGTCTAGTGGGGGCGAGAAGAGTAGAAACAGAATAGCAGCAACACTTGCCGAAAGTTCAGGCCTGTGGGGTCTCACAGAGAGAAGCCTGACTAATGGGTGGTAGTCAGAGAAGGCTTACTGGAGGAGGCACCTTTATAGGTGAGTTCTCAAAAGTCAGGAGTCAGCCTTTCCAACTCATGTTATTTAATCCTTACAGACAACCCTGTGGAATAGGGCTGCCCCTTTTACAGATGCAGCTCAAAAGGTGAGTTCACAACCACCAAAAGAAGGAAAGTTGGGTTCAAAGCCCTGGCACTCTGGCCTGTGGGCTTGGGTTTGAGTTTGATCCCAGCCTTTGACTTGCAGAGACCTTTAGTGAGTGCTTCTCTCCCGGGCCTCAGGCTGTTAACTGTAAAGTGGGTCTAATCCTGGCTGCTGTGCTGCTGGAGGAAGAAAAGGCACAGTGGCTAAAAAAGCACTTAACTTATAAACCAAGAGAAGGCTTACTGGAGGAGGCACCTTTATAGGTGAGTTCTCAAAAGTCAGGAGTCAGCCTTTCCAACTCATGTTATTTAATCCTTACAGACAACCCTGTGGAATAGGGCTGCCCCTTTTACAGATGCAGCTCAAAAGGTGAGTTCACAACCACCAAAAGAAGGAAAGTTGGGTTCAAAGCCCTGGCACTCTGGCCTGTGGGCTTGGGTTTGAGTTTGATCCCAGCCTTTGACTTGCAGAGACCTTTAGTGAGTGCTTCTCTCCCGGGCCTCAGGCTGTTAACTGTAAAGTGGGTCTAATCCTGGCTGCTGTGCTGCTGGAGGAAGAAAAGGCACAGTGGCTAAAAAAGCACTTAACTTATAAACCAAGAGAAGAAATGTCCGCAAGGCCTCCCTCTCCAGCTGGAAATAGCACAACCCCACTTTTCCCCTGACACAGGAACAGGACTCCTGCCTTCTGAGCCAGGAGCAACCCCAGAGACTGAAGTTCATCTTGCTGAGGCACCTCCATCTAGAAGCAGCCAGGATCTATATGGTCTCTTTTTTACTCCCTTTGGCAAAGCCTGATGGGAAGGCACAGGATCTTAGAGTTCTAAATCTTGGAGTTAGAACATCTGTGCTTGAGGAATTCTAGCATCCAGACTCCCCTCAAAGGCAAAGTGCCTCTTAGCAAGCAGGGCAGGGTCCAGGTCTAGGTCATGCTGCACCTAGCCCTGGCAGGTTGGAAAGATCACTAGAGAGATAGGATCCCATCTCATTTTACAGATAAAGACCCAGGGAGGCGAAGGAGGTCACACAGCAAGTCAGAGCCAAAGCTCAGGCTTCTTTCCCTATACCTTAGTGTTATGACACGAAGGACATACTACTTCTGAGGCTATTTGGGGAGTGGGGTGAGCAAGGCTCTATCCAGTGTGCCCAGGCGGTACCAAGGTGCAGCCTGGGTGTTACTGCTTGGGTAAAGTGAAACTGGTCTTGCTAAGGCAAACTTATACTCCTGCCCCGTTCTCAGCTAAGTTCTACAACCTCCACCTCTCCTCCTAAGCCTCCCACTGTCCTGGGCATGCCCTCCTCTTGAACATGACCCTTCTCTCCAGCCCTTAGTCTCCCCATCTATTAAATGGTCCCCAAGTAGCTTTACTCTGTGCTGTCTAGAAATCCTAGGCCCGGGGCGGGGGCGGCGGCTCACGGACCCTCAGGTTCCTACGAGGTGGGGAGTAAGGGAACTGGGAAGAGGGAGGAAAGGAACGGGTACCGAGGGCCGCCGGCTCCCTTTGTCTGGACAGCTTAGGGGAGCAAGGCCAGAGGCCGTGCGGGGCCGAGCTGGGCTGTGGTGGGCGGGGCCTGGCCGGCCCTCGCCCCGCCCCGTCGGACGTCGGCACCGAGCTCGCGCCAGGAGAGGAGGAGCTCGGAGTCAGCTCGCCGCCCGGCCCCCGCGGAAAGTTTTTCCTGACGGAGTTTTGGTGGCGGCGGCGGCGGCCAGAGCAGCCATGGACGCGCTCAAGTCCGCCGGGCGGGCGCTGATCCGGAGCCCCAGCCTCGCCAAGCAGAGCTGGGGGAGCGGTGGCCGGCACCGAAGTGAGTGCGCGTCTGCTAGGACCGGGCCGGGCGAGGGTCGGGCCGCGTGGACTGTTGTCCAGCGGGCACCCTGGGGGAGAGGCGGGGCCTGACCTGCGTCCTGCGGTCTGGCGCGGCCCTACCGGGCCCTTAGGGGTTAGAGGTCGCCCGGGGTCAAGTTGTGCTCCCCCTCCCGCTCTGTGCAGCTGGGGAGGAGGGAGGGACAGAAGCTGGGGGAAGAGTCCGGAGCTCGGGGTTCCCATGTGCAGGCGGCAGTGGGAGAGGGGTTGCAGGTCAGGGAGACTTGCGCGACCCTCGACACCTCTCCACCTCGCTGCTCTGGACAGCTAGGGGAGGCAGGAGCTCAGCGTCGGCTCCCGGAGGAGGGGAAGGGAGGTGGGCACCCGGGGCTTGGGAATATGCACCGACCCTTGCCTTGCATCCCTGCGCCCCAGCCGCGACGTTAGCGGCCGGCGGGAGCCCACTTGTCCCCTACCCCTGTCCAATCCACGAGGTCCCCTTTTGATTCCCAGGCGCCCAGAAACTATCCCAGGTATGAGCCCGGGTTCGCAGGTACCTCCGTGAGGCTCATCCTGGGGTCTCAGGAGGTACCACAAACCGGGCCATCTAGACCCCTTCTTCCCCTACTCTAGCCGGGTCCAGGTAGCGAAGCTGGCGTCCTGGCTATTTTTGAAACCTGTTTTCTCTCTCGCACCTTCTCCCTCGGGCTTCCCAGGTCCCTGGGTGCCCAGGCGAATAACAGACTGCCACCACCTCTCCCCAGGGCGTCTGGGAGGCTGGGAGGGGCCTCATCCGGCCCCCCTCCTCTCCTGTTCTCAAGTTACTCTCAGGGAACCAGTTCACCTGGCACCTTCCCCTGAGGCCTGAGAAACCCAGCCCAAGTCCCTGTGAGGACAAACGGGGTGGCTTGCCTGGAGTCACATAGGCCTTCCTGGATAGATCTAGAGCCAAAGCCAGGACTCCTACACACTCCCACCCCACTACCAACCACCTGGTCTCTGGCCACTCCCCCCACCAGGAAATCACTGACAGTACAGTTCACACTCCACCTTCCTTCCCTCTTTGAGATCCAGGGCTCAGCCAGGGGAACTGGAGTGGAGTGCCAGCGTGTCTGGGCCTAGGAGAGCCTGCCCTGCCCCGCCTCTTGAACTCTGCTGTTCCAGCTGTGGCTGCCTCCTAAACCGAGACTGGCACTGCGAACTTGGGCTGATGCCTGCTGGTGGGGATGGTGTCAGAGACCCTTTAGGGCCAGGACAGGGATGCACCATCTCCCACACTTAATGACTCCCAAAATAGCCTCTTTAAATATTTGTGGGATTTGACCAGGACTTCTGAGAAAGATGGACTGTTTCAGTGGGGAAACCCTGCAGTTTTCTCCTGGGATAGGAGAGGGAGGGGGCTCTGGGCAAGGAAAGGAAACTTAGAAGCCCCTCTCAATCTGGGGAACTGGAAATCTTGGGTGATGGAAAAGAGTTTCTCCTGCCTGCTCTGATCTTGGACAAGCTCCTTGTCTTTCCTGATCCTCAGTTTCCTCATCTACAAAATGGGGATAAAAAGTCTAACCTGGCTGGAATGTTGAGAAGGTTATTGATAATCATGTTTCCTTTAGGCACCTAATTAATGGTTTCCTTCTCCCCCACTTCCCTTCCCCCTGCCTGTTATGTGTATGTTCCACATTACTGTTACGGTGGTGGAACAAGTTTCGGGGGTTCAGAGCCTGTCTGCACTTGCAGAAGAAAGGAGAGGAGACCCCCCTCTTCTACAGACCCCCAGCAAGCCCAGAGTGCTGTGCTAGAGCCATCTGGACCCAGAATGAGCTGGGTGGAATCTCCACCTGTCTTGTTATTAAGTCTCAATTCCCCCATATGGAAATTGTAAATAACAGTCATACCTACCTCAGATTTTTTTTGGTTGTGGTTAAATGAAAGTGTGTTTTGTGTGGCATCGAGAAAGAGTTTGATAAATGATAACAACTACTGCTTTTACACAGTGTTTTTGCTTCCATTATTTCATTTGCTCCTGTGAGGTAACAGCAGAGATTCTCATCAGACCATTTTAGAGATAAAAGAATAGAGGCTCAGGGAATAGAGTCACTGACCCTGACACAGAGCTTCCAACACAACTTCCAAGAGGCAGCGCTCCGAATCCCCTGCCCAGAGGTCTGATATGTGCCTCATGGACTCTGGCCATGGACGGAGCTGGGGCAGCCCCTGAGGACAGTGGTGGCCACAAGGTAGAGAGGGAAGCTGTGCGGTGTGTCTGGGGTGGGGTGTGAAGGCAGACTGGCCTGGGGTGGTGCCCTAGCCAGGCCTTGGGCTTAGACCTTAAGAGCTGGGTTGCGTTTTGGGGCCAAACTGAAGGTAGTGGAGTTAAGGGTAGACTTGACACCTGCTATCCGCTGTGACCTGCTCCTCACCCCTCAAGGTCCTCAGCTGGGGTAAGCACGATCCTTGTTTTACTTGTGGAGAAACTGAGGCCCAGAGAAGGGAGGCAGCTTGCTTGAGGTGACACAGCGAAGCCAGGACACCAGGCTTTTTTGCACTGAACCTCATGGCCCCCTGTCTCCCAGTTAGTCCTGACTTCAAAGGAGGACTCTTACCCTCTCCCACTAGTGGCTTTTCCCCGTCTCTTCAAGAACCATAAATATTTTATCTCAGTCCCTGGCCAGGGATTTTCCTTTCTTTCGTCTGCCTAGAAGGGTGACTCACCCTGGCCCCTCAGTACCCTTCTTTCCAAGAGGGGTCCCTCTGACCCTTGGGCTCCTTCATAGGTTGTGCCAGCCTGTCAGAGAACAGCTAAAGAAATACGAGAGAGTAAAGCTAGTTCGTGGTGGTAGGCAGGGGCAGAGGATCTAGTCATACTTATTTATAATATTTACAATAAAAGATATAAATAACCCCCCAAAGCATAATATTTATTGAGCGCTGACTGTGTGTCAGGCACTGATAGAGGTGTTGGGGAGTCTGGTGAACCAGTTGGTCTCTCTTCCCACAGTGCTGACCCCCTGCTGGAAGGAGGCAGGCTGACCAGGTTGCACATGAGTAGTATGGTTATGAGTAGTGGTGATGCTATGAAGAAAGATAAAGCGGGGCGAGGAAATGATGGGGACACATACCTTAGATAGGGTGGTGTCTTCATTTGGGTTCTTCTAGAAGCAGATGCTGAGACAGAGATCTGAGTGCAAGTCATTTATTTGGGAAGAGGTCCCAGGAAATATTCTTAGGAGAAGTGAGTAGGGAAGGGAGTCCGAAACGTGGACACTCGGAAGCCACTTACCACTGTGGGCGACTGGAGCACCATCCTGTGCGGAGCTCGGGGAGGCCGTGTAGAATGTGCTCTGCAGTTACTCCGTTTGAGGGGCTGCTCCGTCAGTGGTGGGTGCAGGGCTGCTGGGGATGGGAGCTCTAATGTCCCAGTCTGCGTGGTGTCTGGCAGCCAGAGCTGCAGGCATGTCAGGTGACATGTTTGGAAATGGTACCCACCAAGGGGATAAAGGTAGGGCGCTAATAATGTCAGTGTAGGGAGTCAGGGATGGCCTGTTGGAGCAAATGACCCGGAACACACGTGTGAAAACAAGGAGGGAGGAATCTGGGAACAGCAGGTGCAGGGACCCTGAAATGGAGGCTGGGACTCGGCTTCTCACAGACCTGGCAGCGGAGGGGTGTGTGGCTTGAAGGATCAGGTCACCCACTGCCCACTGAAGGTGAGCCAGGCACTCCTTTGAGGCAGCTCTGCAGGGCAGGATGCCCGCCTCTCCTGGGGGGATGCTAAACCTGACCCCTGCCTTGCATAAGAAGGGCATGGTGGGCGCAGGAGTGGGCAAAAAACATGGACTGTAGGATTCAGGGACCAGCACTGTCGATTATGAGCCATAGCTAGACTCCTGAGCTTCTTGACCTGTGAAATGGGAATCCTAACATCTCCTTGACTCTTCTCACAAACTACTGCAAATGGCTGTGTGCACTTAAAGCTCTTTGCATTGGACCCTTGGGAATGACAATAGCTCACATTTAAGTGGCGCTTGGTATGTACTAGGCGTGGTTCTAAGCCCACCTCGCGTGAACTCATTTCATCCTCACAACACCCTGTGAGGTGGATACTGTGATTGTCCCCATCAAGCGAGGAAACTGAGGACCAGGGAGGTGGAGGGACTGTGAACCCCACAGCCCGTCTCCAGACCCCACTGTTTTAACCTTGGCAGCATGTTTTTCTCTTATAGTGTAGGTAGGCACTTAGGAAATGGTAACTGCTGCTATTACCATTTTTGAATTTTCTTTTGAAAACTTGCCTAGCACTTTTCACATCCTGAACCTTTTTCTGATGATGCTTCTGAGGAACTGAACCTGCTTGTCAGATCAGGAGAGTGTGGCCTAGAGAAGCAGCCACACTCTGGGTCACAGCAAGAGCTCAAGTTTCCTTTTGAGATGTCACTCTGTGGCTTCTGAGGCCATCTCTCCACCAGGGTGGAGGGGACTGGAGGCCAGGGTCCAAGTCCGAGGTTTCCCCCGTCCCGTAGGTTTGGCTGCAGCTCTGATGTTCTAGATACGTGGGTCCGCAGAAGGGACGCAGGGGCACCCTGCCTAGCTCTGACTCCTGGGCTGGGGGGCCTTAATGAGGATAGAGCACATGTTTGCAGCCATGAGTTAGACTGGGCATATGGACTGTCCCCAGCTAACTCTGACAGCAGGTCATCTGTAAAATTGCAAAGTTAAAATAGCGTAGTCATTAACCTACCACAAGGCCAGAAATAACCCAGACCGGAACAAGGCTGTGAACTCAGGCCTGTATTTGTCTGAGGACCTCTGGGAGCTCTTCCTGAAGGCTGGGCTCGTCCTGGGGAGGCGCCTGTGGCCTCCAGCCTATGCGAGGTAGCTGCATGGGGAGCAGGGCGGGCGTGGTTGTGAATCCAACCTCTGAGTGTAGCAACCGCTCCTAGGTGCTGGTTTTTGGGGGAGGGCATGGGGCATGAAAGACTACACCTCACTGAAGAGCGGAGTCGTGCCCAGAAGTATAGGGGCAGAGGCAGGCTACCCTAGAGGGGAAGGAGGATCTTTGCTGGTCCTGGGAGGGCAGGGGGGTGGGGGATGGGCAAGGGAGAAGCTGGACAAGGCAGGACAGCAACCCTGGGCAGGAGTGTACCTTCTCCATCCCGGTTTCGAGGGAGGCAGACATGAATAGAAGTCCTTCAAGAGGAAGACATGGGAGGCCGCTGCTTGGCAGTGGATGATGTGGCTGTGGGAGGAAGACGAGGAAATCCACACAGGAGAGAAGTTCTAGCAGCCCACTGACAGGAGCCATAACCATGGTGGGCCTTCTGCTGAGCACGTTACATTTTATTATCTCATCAAAGGGTCCCAACAGCTCTGTGAGCCCGGGGACTATTGTTTCCCTCACCTTAATGAGAAAACTGAGGCTCAGGGAAAGTAGTTAACTTGCTCAGGACCACTCAGTGTCCAATCTGGGATTCTAGGATGAAGGCCCTTGCTCTTCACCACTAGGCTGTACTGTCTCAAAGAAGGCTTCCTGGAGGAGGCTGGATGCAATGGGTTTCGATCGAGCGAGGGGAAGGGTATTTCTGCTAGAGGGAACTACTTGAGCGAAGGCACAGAAGTGGGAAAGGAAATGTTACTTCATGAGGCAGAAGCTCTGCATGGTTGGAGCTTCTTGTTTGTGGGTGTGCACGAGCATGTGTGCGTGTGTGCGTGCAGGGATATTGTGGGAGAGTGGACTGGGGAACCTGTAACTCCCCAACAGTCACTGTGGGAATTGCTGGGGCGGGGGTCCTCTGACTTGTGTGACCTCGCACCATCTCTGAGCCTCAGTTTCATCATCTGTCAAGTGAGGGGTTTGGGCATAAGGTCTCCGAGGCTGATGAGTGGCAACCAGTCTACTAGAGCCCTCTTCCAAGGGGTCAAAGAATAGGAGAAGGGTCAGGCCAGAGAAGGAGGAATGCAGAAAATGCTGAGCATTTCAGAGGTCAAGGAGGGCTGGGGAATGTTTTGACAGCAGAGAGGTCGTCTGTGACCTTGGCAAGCTTTGGCCCTTTGGAATGGAGGGAGCGGAGAGGAAGTGGCTTTGGAGAGGGTCCAGGAAAGAGCTGAGCCATGGAAATGAGGTGGGGGGTGGTGTTTGAGATAAACAAGGCCACCCCTCACCGATTGGTATTGTTGCCTGGAGCCTTGTGTTGAGAAACTGTCCCAAACCTATTGTATAAACCAGCCGGAATAGAGTTGCAATTGATTAGCAATGTCTGTCAAGGACACAGGCGACAGGCATTGTAGCATGTACTTTGCCATCCTTGCTTAGATGGATCTCTGGTTGAAAATGGTGGTCTGGGTATTTACTGACAGAGGGGAAGCCTCAGGAATTAGGAATTGTAGGCGGCAATATCTCTGGCTCTAGGAACTTCTCTGGGACCTTCTGTTAAAATTAAGATAGTTTGGGGCCGGCTGAGTGGCTCAGTTGGTTAAGAGTGCAAGCTCTGAGCAACAGGGTTGCTAGTTCGATTCCCACATGGGCCAGTGAGCTGCGCCTGAGCTGAGCTGCCAACAGTTGGCAGGATGGCTCAGCTGGTGAGAACACGTGCTCCTAACAACAAGGCTGCCAGTTCAACTCCCGCATAGGATGGTGGGCTATACCCATCCACAACTAAGATTGAACACAGCACCTTGAGCTGAGCAGCCGCGAGCTGCCTATGGGCGGCCAGATGGCAACTGGACTTGGGAGCTGAACTAGCTGTGCCCTCCACAACTAAGACTGAAGGACAGCAACTAGGCTGTCCCCCTTCCCCAGTTCTCCAACACTGTTCCCCTTCCCCAATTCCCTAATAAAATCTTAAAGAAAAAAAAACTAAGACAGTTTGCCTCATGGGAAGATAGTATGGCCTAATGGATAGGAGCTTGGGCTTTAGAGTCAGATTGACAGCTAATTTGACATATTACTTATCCTTGGAGCCTCAGTTTTCTCATCTGTGAAATGGGAATGAAAAGACTGCCTGCTTGCAAGGTGATGGTAAGAGCTGCTGCTTTGTGATTCTTGTCATCTTTGTTACTTAATAGCTCTGTTTTGCCCTGATGATTAGGGAGGTAGTCTTTAAGAGCAAGGCCCGTATCTGAGTTGCTCCTGGGCCTCCATCACCCAATCCAGGACTAGGACACCTCAGGGACTTTCTGATTCATTTTGGAAGATCAAATGAAATAGGCTCATAGTTGATGGGACAAAGGATAGGGTCACTTTGGAGTCTTCTCAGTGAGAGCTGGGTCTCATGTTGGGGTAGAGGCCCAAGGGTGAGGGCTGGAGGGCAGCAGGCCAGGGTCTAGAGCTAAGGATGGGGTTGGAGGCATTGCAGGCCTGAATGAAGCCTTGGGGTTGTCCAGGTCATTCCTTCATTCAACAAATATTGAGCGCCAGCTGCATACCAGGCTCTGAATGACTGGTCAGCGAGTCTCTGCTTACCTGGGTTTCAATCCAGGGGGACTGGGCACACTTGTAAGTTCTTGTATTCGCTCCCCCTGCCCCACCACCAAACACACATGCATTCTTTTTCAGATGAGGACATAATCACAGAGAAGGACAGTGGCTTGCTCAAGTCAAAGCCAGAGAAACATATGGGTGTACAAGCTCCTTCTGGGTGGTAGAGAAGGAGACAGAGCCACAGTTGCTAGGAGAGGGTAACAGGGACCCTGCCAGGGCCTCAGCTGCCCTGGAACCGTGATGCCCAGTCCTAAACTTTCTTCTTATGATTCTACCATTAGAACCAGAGAGGGTCCCAGGAAGAGGCAGGGAGGGCACAGGACTTCCCCCAGCTCCCCTCCCAAGAAATGGTCTAGGGACACTGGCCCTGGCCGTCTCTGTGGTGGCCCCTGGAAGCTGATTCCTGTTTGGATCCTGCTCTCTCCAATATTGTGTGTAAGGCTGAAGAGCAGTTTCCTCATCTGTAAAGTGGATACAATCCTAATACCTCCTACAATTGCACCATCTGAGAGAGGACGGCGAGGGATGAACAAAGGGTGCGTGGGATGTTAATTCGTCCTGGTGATAGGCTTGCAAGGGTCCCTGGAGACCTTTCTTCTTCTGGCCTCATTGCTTCCCAGCTGAGCAGAGTGATCTGGTGCCTCTGAGGAGGAACCCCGGGGCTGGTGAAAACCACCGATGAGGCTCACACTTCTGCTCCTGCCCCTCTGCCTGCTCAGGGCCCTCTCTCACATGGGTGGGGCGAGGTGGGGGCCTCTTTCCAACTCTCTCTTCTGGTCTGTTTCCCCACCTAGCGAGCCTAGCTTATCCCCGTTCCCCAACCTTCCTGACCTCAGTCGTGGTCAGTTTTCAGAGGACCTTTCCCATGTTCCCTGCCATTGCTTCAGCCCAGGCTTATTAGTCTCAAAGAGGAGAAGGGACTTCCCCGAGACCATGGAGGTGACAGGAAACAGAGCTGGGATTTAAACTCAGATCTGTCTGATTCAGGTGGCCTTCCTATGATGTCATCTGAGCAGTCACCTCCCCCTTTCCTCCGGACCCTACCCCACCTTCACTCTCCTTGGCTGGTCTCTCTTTCCTGGTCCCCCTCCTTGATCTCTATGGCTGTGCAGATGGAGGAAAGCAGAGCAGGCTGGAACCGTGGAAACCACCCAGGTTTTAATTCTGACCCCAGTCCTGTCTTTTTTTTTCTTTTTTTTTAAATTGGAAAACAGTGTGTTCTTCTAGGACCCATCCGCTCCAAGTCAAGTAGTTGTTTCAATCTAGTTGTGGAGGGTGCCACCTCAGTGGCCCATGTGGGGACCGAACCTTCAACCCTGGTGCCATGAGCACTGTGCCCTGTGCCCTAACCACCTGAGCCAACCAGCCGTCCCCAACCCTTTCTTTACTAATTGTATGTGGCCTTTGTTGATGACTTTCCCTTTCTGAGCCTCAGTTTCCTAATCTCTAAAGTGGGGAGGATATCCAGCTCACTGGATTACATTGAAGATTCAGCAAGAAAATGACATGGTTTGTGCTCTGCAAGTGCTAGCAGTGAAGTTGAGTTTGGGCTGTGGACTTGAAAGCATGGGTTTGAATCTTGGCTCTTGTAGTTGCTGGCCCTTTGGACCTGGTTATGTGATTTTTGCCTTCCTGGCCCTCAGTGTCTTGTAAATGGGTATGAAAAGTGGCTACCTCATAGGTTCACATGAGGATTAATGAGAATATTTCAAGCAAAGCTTCTTACCGTTGTGCTTGGTATGTACTGGGAAATGTTAGCCCTTTTAAAAATATTAATATAAAAATAATGGTAGATGGCGGGACCCCAGTGCCCCTTGCTGGGTCTCCCTGGGAAATGGGGGCTGTGAGAGCTGTTGCTGTGGTGGGCCTGCGCAGCAGGTGCTGAGGGCCTGTCCTCTTCCTGCCCAGAGCTGCCTGAGAACTGGACAGACACTCGGGAGACACTGCTCGAGGGGATGCTCTTCAGTCTCAAGTACCTGGGCATGACGCTGGTGGAGCAGCCCAAGGGCGAGGAGCTGTCGGCTGCTGCCGTCAAGAGGATTGTGGCCACGGTGAGCCCCAGTGGGGGAGCCAGGAGCCAGGGCCAGCTCCTTCCCGGGGTGCTGCTCGTCCCCTGCTTACTACTCTCATCTGAGCTGTCCCTGCCCTTGAGTCCCCTTGCATCTGGTAGAGGGAAGCCATTGGGCTTTTGGGGTCAGGGTCAATGTCCTTCTCTCCAGTTGTGGCCGTGAGCTCTCCCGGCCTCCCCTCCTGCAACTCAGGCCCCTTGCCTAAGGGTTGGTGACTTAGTGCCAGGAAGGGTAGGAGGGAGGTGGCCCAACCACTTGCCCTATGGCCTGACGGATAGGGTCGCCCACCAGAGCCCAGATTTCCCCCTCCCCAGTTCTGAGTAAGCATGGGCCCTATAAATCCACCTCCTTTGGTGGCCTCGGACCCCCTCAAGTCAGGCCCTGGCGTGGTCAGTTGGTGAAGCAGAGAGTCCCCGGAGTCATCCTGCTGAGTTATGATAGCCCACTCAGCGCTCAGCGTCTGAGGTCCCTCCTAGCTGTGTGTCCTTCAACAAGTTCCCTTAACCTCTCTGAGTCTATTTCCTCCTGGGGAGAAGCCCTGCTGCCTGTGAGGATGACTCGAGGTCCAGTGCTTGGCAAACAGCACGTGTTCAATGAGCAGCAGTTGTCCCTGTTTTTGTTGGAAGAGAGCGTTGGCTGAATTGTCTTCCCCATTGCATCTGCCTAAGCTGAAGCCTCGCAGGGGCCTGGAGTCTGGGACCTGGAGCAGCTAGGCGTAGCCCACGAGGGTGGGTTCCAAGTGAGGCAGGCAGGCTTCTCTGACCCATGTCTGTCCCAAGGCCAAGGCCAGCGGGAAGAAGCTGCAGAAGGTAACTCTCAAGGTGTCACCACGGGGAATTATCCTGACTGACAGCATCACCAACCAACTCATTGAGAACGTGTCCATTTACAGGTACGCTCAGCGCCGCCCACACTGACTTTGCCACTTGGGGCAGTGGGTCGAGTGCCCTCTCTAAATCCATGCTCTACCCCTTCCTGTCTGAGTGACCTTGGAGCCTCAGTTTCCTCATCTGTAAACGGGGGTGGAATCACCAGCCTTACAGTGTCACTATGAAGTGCTGAGTGCACAGCACCTGGCTCACACGAGGCATTTGGTTCAGTGATGACAGCTGCTGCTGTCAGGATCACCTGTTGCAGCAGGCAGCTGAGGCCTGATCAGGGCTGGGAACTGCCCTCCCCCCCAGGCATGCTGCTGAGTCAGGCTTGGAGCCGGGAGTTGCCGGGTCACTGCCCACTTTTTCCCACTGTGCATGCAGCTGCTCCTCTCTTGACATCTGTCCAGGCATCCAGGGAAGCCTGAGAATTAAATGAGGTGACACCTGAAGGCAGAGTCTGAGGCCAGAGTGTAGTGTGTGTGGGAGGGGGACTGTCTGTGAAGAGGCAGAGCCCAGCCCTTGGAGCCTTAGGCTTCCCCCTCCACCCTACCCCCGCCAACCTCAGTTGTAGGATTTTAGAGCTGGAAGGGACAGCCCAGGTCCATTTTACAAACGAAAAAGCTGAGGCCCAGAGAGGCAGTTTCCTAAGGCCTCACAGTGAGGTAGTGGCTGAGCTGGGAGTGGGACACCCAGGCCGTAGTTCTGTCCAGCAGGTCCCCATCTACTAGGCATCCCTCCACCATCTTGCTTTGTCTCCAAAGTGGTGGCTCAGCGCCTGGAGCACAAACCAGTACTGGGCGGGGGGTAAGGGAGTGGGGGAGTGGCTTTAGAATTTCTGGCTACTATCTTTCACCTTCTTGATTCTACCTGCCTCCTTTAACCAGGTGAGGCATCAAACCCAGCCCTGCCCTCAAGGAACTTCCAGTCTAGGATGGAATGGGGGGGGCGGAAATAGGAGATAGAGTGTGTTTCCCAGGAGGGCAGAGAAGGAGCCGCCTGCCTGGGGAAACCTGGGAAGGCCTCCCAGGGAAGGTGGCCGGTGACTTGGTGTCCCTCTGCCCACCTGAGAGTCTTGAGTGGTGCTAATCCCTATGTCAGTGCCTGTGATTGAAGCTGGGGACACACTGTTGAACTCCTGTCCCCACTCTGGGCTGCCAGGATGACTGGAGCCAGCATGGAGGGTCAGACAAGGCGGGGCAGGGTGAGTGTTGGAAGAGGAGAGAGCTGCCCTGTCTCCCTCCTGGACCCGCTGGGGCTCCTGGTTTGCTCATCTCCACACATCCTAACCCTACTCCCAGCTCCTCCACTCCATCCAAGCTCTGGGAGAATCGGCTAGCAGTCTCAGTCACCCTGGGAGGGACAGGCCTAGAACCCATCTTACCTTTGGTCAGGGCCATGATTGGAGGGCAGGTAGGGGAGGGGGAGGCCAGGTGAAGAGCATCAGTGGGTGGGCAGTGTCCCACTTCCCCTTCCAGCTGATCCGTGCAAACCCTTAAAAGGCAGCATGGTAGTGGTTACAGCCTCTGAAATCTGCAGGTGAGGCCACATCTCAGTTCTGCTACTAGCTTCGTGGTCTGAGACTGTTAGCTTCAGTTTTCTCATCTGAAAAGTGAGGATGATAGACCCCATCTCACAGGGAAGCTCTGAGAATTCAATGAGGTGATATCTGAATGTTGCCTAGTATACAGTTAGGGCTCAGCTCTTACAGCTTTGGGGTGTGGCTCAGTAGAGGAGGTGAAAATGCGTTTCAGTCTTTCCCCCGCTCCTTCCTTCCCAGCCTGGTCCCCTTCATTGATGGCCCAGGAGGCCCAGAGGCCCGGGCTGTCTCTTTGGAGTTTCACGCTGGTGGAGTGGAGAGCAGGCTCTCTGGAACGCAGGGAAGATGCCCTGTGGGCTGTCCTGGATGTTGTCAGACCCCCATGCCAGGGTCTGGTGACATTTCCCACTTGCCTTTCAGGATCTCCTACTGCACAGCGGACAAGATGCACGGCAAAGTGTTCGCATACATCGCCCAGAGCCAGCACAACGAGAATCTCGAGTGCCATGCCTTCCTCTGCACCAAGCGGAAAATGGTCAGTGGGGAGAGACCGGGGCTTGGGGGCCCTGTCTGATGGAGAGGTAAAACCTAGATGACACATCACTTAAAGGATGAAATCCCTGGGAACCCCAAATGGCGCTGAGAGCCAAGGGCACCAAGACACCTGTCAAAGTGGGCTGCCCTGGCTGGCCAGTCTGGCCTGTGGGCAGTGACAAGCCTGTGTCCTCAGTGAGTGCCCTGGGCCCCTTCCTCTCTGTAACATGATTTATTGGATCTGAGATTTTGGGGGTCTCCTGTCAATAATATGGTCTGGAGGTGCAGGGTTTTGTAGGGCTTAGCCCTTGGAGATTGGTGATCAGAGGATCCCAGGGTGAAAGGCATAGGTGAGAGCCCTCAGAGGACCGGCCTGCTGTTGTCAGAGCAGGGAGGGAAGTGACCATTTTTTGGTGTCTTACTATGCGCCTCTTTCAGTGGTAGCTTTAAGGCAGCGGTTCTCAACCTGTGGGTCACGACCCCTTTGGGGGTCGAACGACCCTTTCACAGGGGTCGCCTAAGACCATCGGGAAACAAAAAGATATTTACATTACAATTCATAACAGTAGCAAAATTACAATTATAGTGTAACAACAAAAATAATTTTATGATTGGGGGTCACCACAACATGAGGAACTGTAGTAAGGGGTCGCAGCATCAGGAAGGTTGAGAACTGCTGCTTTAAGGTATCTTCTCATTTGATATAGCAGCGCTGTGAGGTGGGAGCTGTTACTGTCTTCATTGTTTTTATTTTTAATGAGAAAACAGACTCACAGAGGTCACCTGTCCTCCTGAAGATGACACAGCTAGCCAGGCAGAGTGATGGGTGTAAACCCCCGTTTTTTCCCCTCCCTGCATGACGGGGAGGAGCCTGGAGCTCCCCACCCCGTTTCAAGTCCACACCCTGGCCACATTGAGCTGATGTAAGTGGGAACCTCAGTGATCTGTGGGTCTTGAACTTTGCAGCAAGCAGCTGGAGTGACCTTTGGTGTTGCAAGCCCCCTTCGTTTCTGAGGGCCCCAAAGCTTGAGCATTTGCCCTGCAAGGAGGTTCCGGACATTTATTGATTTAGTATTGGCCTCTGTTAACCTCTGTGTATGGAGCCCAGAGCCCCAGTCCCCGTGCCCTATGGTTCTGGGAGCCAAGGAGACAAGATCCTCCCCCCTCCCCCATCAACAAGGACACACCAAGGACATCACAGTCTTTAGTGGCCCCTAGACTTTCTGCTACCCATTAGGCTTACTTCAGACATGAAATGAGTTTCCTGTTGCTGCTGTAAGCACTTACTACAAACTTAGTGGATTAAAACAACTCACATTTATCCTTTTATGGTTCTGGAGATCAGAAGTCTGAAAGGGGGGCTCCAGGGGAGATGCGTTTCCTTTTGCCTTTTTAAGCTCTCGAGACCACTTGTGCTCCCCTGGTTCGCGGCCCCTTCTCCAGCCTCAGAGTCAGCAGTGTAGCACCTCCCAGTCTCCCTGTCTGCTCCCCTTGTCACCTTGCCATTTCTGACTTGGACCCTCCGGCCTCCCTCTCATAAGGCCCTTTGTGATTGGGCCCACTGGGCAATCCAGGATAACCTCCCATCTCAAAATTCTTAACTGAATCATGTCTGCAAAGTCCCTTTTGCCATGTGAGGTGACAGTCACAGGCTCCAGGGCTTAGGTTGTGGACATCGTTTCAGGGGGCCATCATTCCGCCTATCACAGGTCTCGTGGAAGGGGCACTAAAGGAGGAGACAGACCCGGGGGCTGAGCCTGGCTAATGTGCTGTGTGACTGTGGATAAAACCCTGCCCTTCTCTGGGTTGTTTGCCCATCAGCAGAATGAGGAGGTCACCTCAGTGACCTCTAGGATTGTTCTGAAAGGCCCCAGTTTCTTCTGTGCCCCTTTTTTCTTTCCTGCAGACTCAGTGTCGCAGGCCATTCACCCGGGTCCTCATGCCCCTGGTCCCTGAGCTGCGGTGGCTTCTCCCGTGACAGTGGACTCCTGGCTTTGTTTCTTATGAGGCCACACAGACTTAAAAACACAGGCTCATTATGTCCCCATTGTTTGTCTCTTCCTCCCCATTGACCAGAGCAGGCGCTGGGCAGGGCAGCTGGTCATGGCCATTGCTGCAGCGCAGGGATGGGGGCTCCCAAGATGCACAGGTTTCCTCTGGAAAGAGGAAGTTGGGGGGTAAAAGAAAACGGATGCTGGCCCAGCGGCTAGGGAGGCCTGGCCCAAGGCCAGAGGACTTCAAATGGGCCTGATCAAAGTCAACCTGCCCCCCCGGCCAACAGGCCAGTTACTGAGGAAAACAGCTCGGCCACTGCTTGATGCTGACGGCAGAGCCCCGGTCAGGCAGAGGGAAGGGCTCCTGCTGGGCACTCAGGCCCAGGTGCTCACTGTTTGTGGCAGGTTCTCCCTTCTGTGTCAGGAGCTGGCTGGCTAGATCACGACCCTTCCTTCTTCTCTACCTTCTCCCACTTGGACTGTCCCCTTCAGGGAGCCCTGGGGAGGCCCCTCGAAGAGACAGCCCAGTCCAGGGCCATGTAAATAGACCATCTGTTGCAAAGGTGGTGTTCTGATGCCCCCCCAAGGCCTCAGTTGAGCCCAAGCTGGCAGTGTGTTGATGGCCTGGTGGCCTGGCCATGATGGAAATCCTGAGATTCTGAGATTAGTGGACATTTCTGAAGAGGAGGCAGCAGGTGAAATGGGTGTCTCAGGCTTTGCAGCCCACCTCCACAGATGTTTGTGCTGCTGCCCTTCCCCAGTTCAGCACTGTGTTGGGTACTGGAGGCCCAGGGGATAGGCCGTGGAGAAACAAACAAGGCTGTAGGGGAGAAGAGGCCAGGTTCAGGAACCCGAGTACAGGGGTCTTGCTTCTAGCGTGGAGGTTAGTAAGTCTCACCGGAAGTCAGCAAGACTTCCCAGAGAAGATGTTTTGAATTGGGCTTTGAAGGATGAGTAATGGGTAGTAGTTTGCCAGGCTGAGAGAAAGGGCATGGGGGAGGTCAGAGGGAATTACAGTAGCAAGTGTGAAGACACAGAGGTACAAAATTCAGTGGAGTAGTAGCTGAGGACTCAGATGTCACTGCAGCCTGGGTGGGTGGCAAGATAGAATCATCCTGCAAGGGAGCCTTGAATTGGAATGTTGACATAGTCCTCACTCCTTTTGGCCCGGGGCCCACAGTCTCCACATCCCCACCCTTTCTTGCCTGGATGCCTGAATGGGCAAGATGCCTGTGACCCACGGAGTGGGGGGCAAGTGCTTCCTTGCTGGGCTGCCCAATAGTTTGGCTCAGCTCAGGCAGCACAACGATCATGCCTCCCATCCCTGGTGGCCCCTGTTGGGCACAGCCAGGGAGAGCTTCTCACAAAGAAACGTTTGCATCTGCCCAACTGGGAAGCCTCCGCAGCACTTCAGCCTCTGGGCTTGGAGTGAAGGTGGAGATACTGTTGTTGAGGGGAGCCCAGGGTTGTGGTGCAGGTGGACTGATAGTGAGCAAAGTGATACCCCTAATCCTGCCCCAGGCGTGGGTGGGTGTGGGTGGGCAGAGCTGTTCTCCCTCACATGGCCATTGGCATTCCTCAGGTAGTCTTTTTATGCAAGGATTTATGCTCCTGGGGCAGTGGACTGTAAGGGACATATGACTCGACCTGGTCTGAGTACCGGGCTGGAACCCGGGCTCCCAGGGTGCTGGCCCATCTCTGCAGCCCTAAGCTGGACCTGGCCTCTTTGAGGAGCTAACAGCCTGGTTGCTAGGAACAAGACAGGCATACAAAATACCGGGCAAGGTAGAACCTGGTCAGGGTAATAAGATAGACCCACAGGCTAGAGGCAGTCAGAGGAGAGATAGGCATCTGGCCTGCAGAATCAAGGAAGGAAGACACCCCCTCCTCCCTTCCCTCTTCTCTCCTCCCCCCACCCCTCCTCCCCATCCGTGGGCAGGCCCAAGCAGTCTTTCCTTCTGATGCTGCCCCATCCCTGCAGCAGCCCCAGAAAGCAGGGCCCAACCTCTCCTCCCGCCCCACCCCCCTCCCCCCTGCCAAGTCCCTGCCCAGCCTGGGCTTGCAGCCACCTGCACACCTCTGAATCTTGGGTTATATTTGGTTTAACTTGCAGCTCGGGACTTCAGGGCGAAAGGGCAGGAGTGTATGCAAATGAACAAGCAGATTTATGCAAAAACAGTATCAGGCTTGTGCCCCTAGATTTCCTGGAGGCAAAAATAATGGCGTTTCCATCTCCCTGCCACATTGGATGACCAGCCCTTGCTTGGGTATATAGTGATCTGACTCCAGCTGGTAATTAGCCCATATTTTTAGTTCATGGGCAATTCTCAATGGTAACTGGGTCTATTAAACTTGATTCAGACGTGACAGTTTAAATTGTAAACAGCTGTGAAGAGTTTCATACTTAATTACCATATTTAAGTTTTGCCATAAAGCGTCCGTACTTCCATCAAAAATGTAAATGACAGAGACATTCAAATGACATTTTATACTTCGTGAAGTTTAATTGGCATGGATCAGTCAGCTTGTTTGGGGATTTAAAATTTTTAAAAAGAGTTTTAAAAGCAGTTAGCCACAGATTCATTTCTCAATTAAATTGAGTTGTCTGGCAGAGAGGAAGGGAGTGGGGCAGAGGCTGGTTAAGCCTGAACTTGTACACTTGAAAGGGTCTGGCGCTTGCGTCCCCAGGCTCCAGCTTTCAGAAGGAAGCTAGATGTCGCTTCCAGCTATCGCTAGCTGCTCTGGGACTTGCACTCCCAGAAGCTGAGCTGATTAACTTTGAACTGGAATCAGAGGGGAAGAGGTTGAGTTGAATGTGGGACAGGGGCTCGGTCCTGGCTGGAGTGGGAGGCCTCGGAACTCCTGCCTCTTGGGCAAATGCAGTTCAGCCAGCGCGTTGTCCCTCTGCAGGCCTTGGCCTGCTCTGTAATCAGGGTGTTTTACCTTTCAGAAGCATGCAGATAGGGTGACACAGGCATGTGAGCTGGTGACATGATACATATGGTGACATTTGAGTTGAGTTTGAAGGGTAGATTGGAGTTCTTCAGAGGCGAAGGGCCAAGGTTTGGGCCCCTCCATCCAGGTGGGTTATGGCACTGAATGGCTTCGGTCATCTGCCACAGGCACTCACTGGCATCTTGTTCCTGACAGGAAATGTATACGCTTCCTTTCGTTTACTTCCTTTCGGGGATTTAGTTGTAAGCCCTCTGACCCTTTATAGTACTAACCAGTCTGACCTTTGCCCCTGTGCCTGTGGCTCCTTCAGACAGTGGCCTGGCCCTTTCCAACTCTGGCTTTTCTGTTCCCCAATTCCAAGGGCTGATTACTGTATGAAGTCCTTGAGTAATTAGGGAGGGCTTCTCGGAGGAAGTAAGCCTCACAATTACTCGAATTTACGGAAGCCCAAAGGGAAGGGAAAAAAGTGGAGGTGAGCAGCCATTGCCAAGGTGGGGGCTGGGGATGAGCATGGGAACCTTGGCTGGGCTACAGGTGGTGAAGATGGGGCCCCAGCTGCCTGGGGAGGGTGTGGCCTCATTATACCCCAGGCTGCTTTGGTGACTTGGGAGGGGCCAGGACTCTGCCTCCATCCATCAGGCATTCCAGAGCCTTGGAATGGAGCCAGGGTGGGCCTGGCCAGGAGCCCCCAGCCTCCAGCTCAGACTTGCTATGACTTGCCTAACACTGCACCCCTCCCCTGACCCCACCTCCTGTTTTTCAGGCCCAGGCTGTCACACTCACAGTAGCCCAGGCCTTCAAAGTTGCCTTTGAGTTTTGGCAAGTGTCCAAGGAAGGTGAGTCTTGTTCACAGACATTGTGGGTGGGTAGGGGTGTAGAGGGGGCATTGAGGAAGGCTGGCAGCATGGGGTGGGGTGGGCAGGGGACAGTAAAGGCCCTGGAGTCAGGCCTGGATTGACTCCCACCTTTATGACCTACCTGATTTATGACTTTGGACAGGCCCCTTCACCTCTCTCACTGTCCCCATCTGAAGAATTGGGAAGAGCTGTCTCTCTCCCCCAAGGTGCTTTTGAGGATTAAACGAAATCTGCAAAGTTTCTTTCCTCCCTGCTGGAGACCTAACACCTGCCTCCTGAGCTTGGCCATAGCCTACTCCCTGCCCAGCAATTGCTGGGGATAGAGTGCTGGGCTGGGGCTCCAACGCACTGTCCTTGGTCCCACAGAGAAGGAGAAGAGGGAGAAAGCCAGCCAAGAGGGCGGGGACATCCTAGGCGGTGGCCGCGTCGACAGCACCCCTTCATTGAAGAACCGTGAGTCTTGGGCAGGGGACACGGCTGGAAAGCAGCTGCATGACATGGGGTCTGCCCTTCGTGCAGAGGGCCCCATGCCCTCGTGGGCTGGAGCAAATGCTTGGTTTTTTACTTTTGTTTTTTTGTTAAATCAATAATACATGCTTGTTATAGATAAATTAGAAAATGTAGATAAAGGGGGGGGAAATCACTGTTACGGTGCATGTTCCAGATATGTCCCTATGCACATATGTAAATATATGTGTACATCTATCTGTGTACACTTTACATCCCATCGTGTGATCTCTTAAACTTAACACCTGTTGTGAATATAAAAGTTCCAGCCTAAACCATTAGCTGGGGCGAGGTTCTCATCCTGTGGGCAACTGTCCAGCTGCTTTGGGAGGTGCCAAGGCGGAGCTCTGGGTGGTCTGGGTGATTGGCCTGGGAGAGGCCTTGCCCAAGGAGGAAGCAGAACCAGGACAGCCCAGGAGGCTCCGGGACAGGGCTGGGAGACGAGGCTGAGAAACAGGAGGTCCTCTCCCACTGACACATCGGACCGGCCCCTTCCTAGTGGTTGTCACTGGGAACCTGCTGGACTTGGAGGAAATGGCCAAGGCCCCGCTGTCCACAGTCAGCGCCAACACCACGAACGTGGACGAGGCACCGCGGCCCCAGGCCTTGAACAACAGCGGCGTTGTCTGGGTGAGTGTACGTGCGCCTCACCCTGAACCCTGCGTGAGGCCTCGGTGGTTCGGGCCCTGGTCCCCATGACTTACGGGCCTCTGGGAGGGCCGGCCCCGGCCCAGCAGCACCCAGACCCAGGGTTGGGGATGAACAATGTTCCCTTTGAACCCAGGGCCGCATCCCCAACAGGCTTGACTCCCAGCACAGCTGTCTCTCACAATGCCCGGCCTCTTGGCCTGAGCGTCCACAGCTTCACCCACCGTAGGACCAGCCAAAGGCTCACTTGTTCTCTGTGTGGGCAGTTTGCTCCTGACACCCCTGCCCCCTCGGCCCTCTGAATGAGGAGTCTGTGACGCAGGGCAGGCCCCTTGACCTCTGTGTGTCTCAGCTTTTTCATCCCTTCAGTGAGGATGATGACCTCTGCCTGCGGAATCTCCCAGAGGAACCTGATTTTTTTCATTAAAAATTAAGAACTTTTTTGTTCATTTGGAAATAATTTCAGACTTACAAAAAAGGTATAAAAACAGCACAAAGAATTCCTGTTCACCCTGCATCCAGGTTCCCCAAATGTTAGCATCTTATGTAACCACATTGCAATCATCAAAATCATTAACATTGATTCGACACTATTATCTAATCTGTAGACCTAGTCACATTTCTCCATTTGTCCCCACAGTGTCCTTATTCTCGTCCAGGATCCATTGCAGAATCGCACATTACTTTACTTGTCATGTCTCTTTAATTTTAAAAAATCTAGAATGTTGAGGGACCTGAGAAACAGTCAAATCCCACTGCCTGTTGGGGGCCACCCAGTGTCTGCTGAGCAGGCTCTCCGAGCCTCTTTCTGCCGTCTGGAGCCACCCTTGCCACCTGCCCATCCTGCTGGGAAACTGGAGGGGCCTCGCCCATTGTTTTCCCACCTAGGCTGTGGGATTCCTGCCAGCAGTTATCCCTTGAGCTTGGAATTTGGGCTGGGCTTTTGGAAGTGGATGAAAGCAAGAAACACTTCCCTGCCCTCTTCCTCTTGGAACATGAAAGCCATAACCATCGCTCATCATTCCTCACTCATCATTCAGTCCAACCCCCTCATTTTATGGCAGGAAAAGCTGTCTCACAGAGGAGTAGTGACTTGCCTAAGGGGTCACTCGAGTAGTGACAGAGCTGGGAATTGAACCCACCCAGCTCTCTAGGCACCCAGGTGCTCTTTCTCATGTCCCATGTCCCAGGTGTGGGTTCGTGGGCTGAGATGCTAGTAGCAGTAGCCAGGCTCCCTGGGAGGCCTGCCTGTGCTGCTTCTCCAGGCGCCTGCCAGACCCTTCTGCTTGTGTCTGGAGTCCCTGTAGCTTAACCTGGGGCTCTGACAAGCCGCAGCTCTGAGCACGGGCCCCCCGCTGAGGGTTCATATCTCCTGCTTTGTTTTCCCCAAGGAGCTGGATGACGGCCTGGATGAAGCATTTTCAAGGTAACATTAGCTGTGCTCCTGATGCTGGGGAAGGAGGCCTGGCATTTGTGGGCTGGTCTCTGGGGCCCTTTGCTGTGTCTGAGAACATGAACTCTGACCTTCTCCAGAGCAAAAATCTCAACTCGTATACCTCCAGGGATGAGGAGCTCACTACCTGGGGTTGGCCAGGTCTGCTAGAAAGCTCTTGCTGTTAAATCAAGAACTATTCCTAGCAGCTGTTCTACCATGGCCTGAGCTGAACTAAACACACTGCAGCTCAGGTCCTCTTCCTACATCTGCTGTAACCTTCAGAAATTGACTTTTTTGTAGGTTTTGTTCCCTCCAGAGGGTTTGCATTTATGGAAAGAGGCAGGGAGAAGGCAATACTTACTTAAGCCCATGGAGCATTACATACAGGAGGAATGCCAGGCACAACAAAGAGATATTTTGCTCTAGCCTGAGATGGTGGATTTCCCCAGTTTCCGAGGGGCCATCTCTGTAGCCATGGCTACCTTTAGCTTGGGACACATCATCAAGAAGTCTTGAGGAGAGGCCTGGGAAGCTCAGCATTCCGAGTCAGTCAGGCCTTCCTGTCTCCCTTGGGACCCTCAGCAGTCCCCTACAGTGCTGTTCCTCCACCCCAGGCCTTTCCTGCCACAGCCTGGTGGAAAGTGGGGAGCGGCATGAGTGGCCCCTTCATGGAGGCAAAGATGCTCTTTTGACCATCTCCCATGCTTTTCTGGCTGACTGCCACCCCTTGTTTGAAGAAAACCTTCCATTTGCTTTTTCCAGATTACCCAGTATCGTGTGCCCCTTTATTAACAACTGGGAAACTCAGCAAAGCATTAACAGGAAATAATACCATCCCATAATCCCACAGCCCAGACTTTTGTGCTTAAGTCATGCTAATCCTCTACATATACGTTTTTTTGCATTGATCAGCTCATCATGTTTGCATTTGGGGATCCTGATTTTCACTTAGCGCTGGCATAGCAGGATTTCTCCGGGCTGCTAAAAGTGCCTCGAGCACACCTCATTCGTTTACTGCCTCGTTCATTTATGGGCATGGACTGTAATTTACTTAACGTTCCCCTGTTCTCCCCCTAGGTTGTCACCCTTTTTAAGTTCTTTTTTTTTTTTTTTTTTTAGTGAACCATCCTGCCACCTGTTGGCAGCTCAGCTCGGGCCGGGCATTGAACCGCTGTTGCTCAGAGCTCAAACTCTTGAGCGAGCTCTTAACCAACTGAGCCACTCGGCCAGCCCTTTAAGTTCATTTTTGAACAGCACTGTGTTGAGCATAGTTTAGCCAATAGTCTGTCTTTTCATGGTTGTACCATCTCCTTCCCACACATGCCCCTCTCACTGCCCTCACCGACGAGGCCCTTTCCCCTTTTTTGGGCATTTCCTGATGGAGCCATAGGTGCCCCGGCCTCTCTCTGTGGTGGGAATGCCACTGCTTACCTCACCGTTTTCTGAGCCGTAGGCTGTCTGCTCAGAGGCTCCACCTCTCCGGACATCCAGGACTTTTGTTCCTTGGCCCCTGTGTCCTGGCATTTTCCCATCCATGCCCTCTTAACTTCTGACCCTGGTGCTGGCCAGGCTGGACTGGCTCCTTAGGCCCCCGCCAGCCCCTTGCCTGTGCCCTTGGCTCACACAGCTCTGCCTTCCAGGCTCGCCCAATCTCGGACGAACCCTCAGGTCCTGGACACTGGACTGACAGCACAGGACATCCATTACGCCCAGTGCCTCTCGCCTGTCGACTGGGACAAGCCTGATAGCAGCGGTGCCGAGCAGGACGACCTCTTCAGCTTCTGAGGGCCCAGGGCTGGCGGGACACGTGACCAAAGCCACCTGTGGTTGGGGTGGGGCAGCCCGAGGACCCAAAGCCACCCTTTTCCGGTTGCCAGCAGCCTGCAGATCAAAGCAGCAGCCAGTCAAGCAAAGGGAAGGAGAGTTTTTTTTTAACCCTGCTTTTTCTCTAAGAACTGAAAGATGCCTTGAATATTTATTCAGTGACTTCTGGTTCAACTCGGAAGTTGGTTATGTGTCAGGCACAAGCAGCGTGATAGCCAGCTTCCTGCCTTCTCGTGAGCGAGCTCTGCTCTGCTGTGCTTGTTAGGATGGTGACCAAAGCATTTCTTGTCCCTTCTCTCTAAGGACCCAGATTTTTCTGGAGGCGGCCCAGCTCCTCGCTGAAGGTAGTCGGAGCATTCATTTCTGTCATCTTTTAAGCACAGGAGGGCACCGCAGCCTCAGGAGAGGACTGCGTCCTCCAGCTTGCCTTCCACAGGGGTCCCGCCGGGCCCGGGCTTGAGCCCCTGCACCCGGGGGCTCTCAGAGACAGGGGCAGCCCCTGACCAAAGACAAAACATAGCTGGCACTTTAAAGCATACACAGCAGGGGTGGCCCCCGGGGCTCCTCAATGGTGCTGCAATGCAGAGAGCTTGCTTTCTGCCCTTCTTCCATGAGAAGAGGCCCAAAGTCCCCATGGAGGGTCCCATCAGTGCTCAAAGCCAGTCTAACTGGCTGCCCACGGACTCTCAGAATCTGACTGAGACAGTGGGGATCATATCTGCACAACTGGGGTCCCTCCACTGGGGCCCCCACCCCACCCCTCTCCCCCAAGAGTGAGCTTGTGTTCACTCTTCCGTTTGTCTGTGTCTGTGTGTGAGTGTCCCTGAGCCCCGGCTCCCCTCCTTCCAGGGGGAACGTATGAGACCTCACACCTGGATTCAGGTAAGAACATTTTGTTGCGCTTTTACAGATGAGAAAACCGAGGCCACCAGTGTGGACAGGGTAACGTCTAGAGTAGAACCCAGACCTGATGCCAAAGCTGCCTTCTCACCTGTGCCTCACACAGCTCACACCTCCTTTTTCTCTAGCTTTGTTGTCCTCCCAGGAACCTAAAACCCCAGCTATTTTCTGACCAAAGTGTTTCATAACAAACCATCTGGTGCCTTTCCACACAGAACTGGCATGAGCCTCTGTGTCCTGCTAGCTATCTCGTTGCTGTTGATTTCCATGAAAATGGAAGTGTTTGAAGTCTGTTAATTCAGAGGGTGCAACAAAACCAAATTAAGCATCACGCTGTTCTTTCCTGACACTCCGACCTGGGTCGGGACACACCAGCAGCAGTCTGTGTTCAGGGCCTCCCTTCCTTCCCCTAAACCCCACAGGGCTCCCCGCATCCTGAAACCCAGCAAAGCTTCCTGCACCCTCTCCATCCTGCTGTGCCTCCCAGGCCTGGCTTTGCTAATCTTAAGTAAGACACTGATGGTAGTGAAAGCAGGTTACACCAGCCCAGGAAAACATGCACCATTTCTGAGAATCTACTTACCTAACTAAGCATTTGAACCAAAACACAAAGACAGAAATGCCTGGAAGGGGTGAGGTGGGATTTGTAGTCTTTATCAGAATACAGGCATAACTTCCTTTCCCTGCCCAGCCCCTGCACCCCCACTGCCCACCCCAGTCCTTGGTATTGGCCCCTGCATTTTTCATGAGGCAGCGAGGGTTGGGCCTGACACGGCCGCCCTTGGCGCCAGGGTCCAGGAGTCCCAAGAAAGGCCGTGCTATCTTTCTTTGAGTTGGGCTGTGGCCCTCGTCTCGCTCGGTCTCTGGCTGCCAGCGGTCGGTGTGCTCCTGTGTGTCTGCAGATAAGTGTTGTGCTTTTCTTTGTGTGGCTGTAAAAGCATTTCTAATGAGAAAAACAACAAGTAATAAACGTTCTCTTTTTGAAATACAAAGAGCACCTGAATGAAATGGCCTGGTGGCCGTGTGGGAACATGGTGTGCGGCAGCACCTGCCCTTTGGTGGTTGGAGCAGCAGTGACCACAAGCCCAGATGTGGAGAATAATGGTCTCTGGTTCCCTGATTGGATCCCAGCGGGGCCTCCTTTCACCAAGCCAATGGGTGTGATGAGGTCCTCTGGACAGCTCAGTGGGGTAGCACTGAAGAGCTCTCTGAAAACCCAGGCCTGGGCTTCCTACCCAAGGTCTGTGAACCCCGGACTGTGCGGACAATTGTGTATGTGTGTCGCATGTATGTTTTTCTTGCAGTGGGTGTCCATCATTTCCACCACATTCTCAACTAGGTCCCTGAAATGTATTCCTGTGGCCAGACTTTGTGTCCAACACAAGCCAGGCCTGGGGCTCGGTGCTGGGAGTGGCAGTCCAGACAGGGCCCAGATGGATGCAGTATGTGTGGCTTGGGTGTAATTGGGGATTGTAATGGGAGGTGGTGGAAAGTGTGTTTTAGTGATTTGGAGACCCAATATCCAGCTCTGGCTCTGCCACTTGGGGGCTGTGACACTGCATCAGTCACTTCTTTTTATTTATTTATTTTTTTTTTTTTTTATTTTTTTATTTTTTTTTAGCTGAGCCATCCTGCCACCTGTTGGCAGCTCAGCTCGGCCGGGCATCAAACTGCTGTTGCTCAGAGCTCGCACTTTTTTTTTTTAAAGATTTTTATTGGGGAATTGGGGGATGGGAACAGTGCTGGGGAATTGGGGGAAGGGGAACAGACAAGTTGCTGTCATTTTGTTCTTCAGTCTAGTTGTGGAGAACGTTGCTTCGCTGGCCCAAGTTGGCACCATCATTGCGCTCTTCCTGGGGTAGGCAGATCAGTCGCCGGCTTCTGGACGGCCGCTCACTGCGGCTGCTGGCCTCTCACGCTGGCTGCTGGCTACATACGGTAGCCCATGGCAACCCACTGCCACAGGGGCTGCAGCCTACGCCGTCGCCGGTGACTCAAGGCAACCCAGCTCCAGGTTGAGCTGTCGTCCAGCATCTTAGCTGTGGAGGGCTGTGTCACTGGTCCTCATATGTAGGATCCAAACCGGGCCCCTCTGGCGTCCCAAGCCAGTTCTTAACCATTGCGCCACTCGGCTGGCCCCATCAGTCACTTCTTGAGCCTCAGTTTCCTCATCTGGGAAAAGGGTATAATAAGCTCCACCCTTCCTGCATCCCTGGGTTTTGTGAGACTCAGAGGTGATGATTATCATATTGGTGGTATACTTAGACTGCTTAAAGGTTATCTCAGCAAAAACAATTTGGACCAAATATGTTTAAGGAAGTCAAAGTAACATTGATAACAATGACAGCTCCTGTTAACTGAGCTCTTAACTCTGTGCCAAGGGCTATGCGAAGCTCTCCACCGTATCTCATCACAACAGTCCTGTTGAGCCCAGATGGCATTCAGCCCCTTTTACTGCTGCGGGCACCAAGGCTTGAGGAGGATGGCAGTCACATTCCCAGCCCTTGGCAGAGCCACAGCCCAGACTCAGAAATGTGTGGCTCTCCACCCCGCTATGTCCTGGCTCCCAGGAGCCACGCGTGCAGTCATGGTGCCCATAGCCTCCTGTCGAGCCGCATGGTGACTGCGCAGAAAGGCCGCTCTCTTTGGGCTCCAGCGAGGGTCTCAGACATTTATCTTTGTCCCTTTCTAACAGTGGTATTCAGTGTTCGGAACCAGAGGCAGAGCCCTCTGATGTCAGCAGTTGGGCAGACTCGCTGTGAATTCTGAGTGGATCCTAGATGACTGAGAAATTCTCTCCTTTCTTCTTCCCCCATAATCTGAAAAGACACCCAACAAGTTCATCTTTCAGTTTAAATTTGGCCAATGTCTTTAGTCTCCGGATGTCTCAACTTATGAGTCCTGATACCCGCCGTCTGCTCTTTATGCGTAACAGAGAAGCCGGGAAGAACAAAGTCGCCTTTCAGATTTGATGTGACCTTTAGCTTCACTGGTAGATGTTGGGGGTCTTCTCTCCCAGGAGATACCTTCCCAATTAAATCTCTCCAACGACTGTCCGACAAACCTGGGGAGGGAATCTAGGTGAATCCAGTGCCCTAGTGCTGGCTTGGGGCCTGGGTTCCTCCCAGCCTTCCTCCTGTCAGCCCCTATGTATGGGTCACAACAGGTAGCCTATTTATTAGGACGTGAGCCTTTCTCTCGTGCTTACTACATGCGAAACCCTGATCGGTCCTTTACACCTAACAGTGATATTGGTCCCAATGTAGGTGCTGTGAGGTGGGTGGTCCTAGTTCCATATTCAAGATGGGACAGATGGGGGTCAGGGAGGATAAGTGAATTGGCCAGTCTCACAGCCAGTAAGGAGTGGACCTGGGATTCAAACCCCAATCTGTCTGACTCCAGAATGTGTTTATTTCCACAGCACCACCCACTCTGTGGGTGAAGGGCAAATCCAACTTGAGCTGCCCATGTCTTGCTCTGCCCCGCCAGCAGCCCAGCAATGGGCAGCCTCCACCATGGGACAGACAGGAGCTGCCAGCCAATGGGTATTTCCGCAGGCAGAGTGGCAGGCGTAGGCCGGGTTAGGTACCTGGAGGCAGGAGCCATCTTCATAGACTGGTCAGAACAGATCCTTCTAAACTTGCTGGGTGGCTGCACTTAGGGACCGCTGCTCTGGACATGCCCTGTTTAGGACTCAGCTGGGCGTGTCTCATCACATGGGGCCTCTGTCTTGCCCCAATAGGCACTGCCCAGCCTGTGCAGGTGGTGGTGGGAGGGGGGCCCAGAGTGGCCCCCAAAGAGGAAGGCTTCCTCTGGGAGCAGACTCGGTGTGTTGTCAGTGGTGAATGGCAGCCTCAGAGGGGCCAGGAAGGAGGGGGGACATGCCACTGGCAGCATTTACACACATTAGCTAGCTTAAGCTGCTGCTTAGTGACTGCTAGTAGGCATTAGCCCATTTTCGGGATGATGAAACAAGCCCCTGGAGCTTATGTGACCTGCCAGCCTCACACAGCTATATGAGGCAGGCCTGGGATTCAGAGCCTGTTCTCCACTGTCCTAAGGTGGCCCTGCCTCTCTGCAGGGCACGTGGAACGTTTGGACAACACTGACCTTGCTTGCTTAGGAGCTTCTGAACCCAGCACAGAGGAACCTTAGCCAAGTGCCCAGCACATAGTTGCTGGATCCGGATGGTGCCTTTGTTTCCAGACAGGGCAGATGTGAGCTGTGTCCCAAGTTCTTGTTGCCAAGCAACAATTCTGACTGTACCTGCTGAGCACCCACATGAAGTGAGGCTGCCAGGGCCTGGCTCGATCTCTTCAGAGTCCAGGGGTTATGGGTCATGGTGCCCTGGAAAGCGCCTGGGCATGGGCTAGGGGTGCACCACACCAGGGGGACATTGGGAATCGGGGCTGAGGAAGCCAGGGATTCTCCTGTAAGAGGAGGTGTTCCAGCTGGAGGTTGAGTCTGCTTTCGCTAGCCTCTGTGTTACAAGAGGCCAGGGCTTGTGTCTGAGTCACCCTGTGGCCCATAGCCAGCATAGCCCCTGGCATAGAGTGACCATCAGTGACTCAAGTTAGCTCATCAAAAGGGGGACAACCAGCCCGGCTTCCTACGAGAAACTGCTGGGAGAAGGGGCAGCCCTGGGCCAGTTGGCAAGCCTGGAGCCTCTGCAGCCCAATGGGACCACTTTGCAGGTTATCTGTTCTGGAGTCAAAGCCATCCTATGGCTGACTTCCCCATGCGCACTGGGCTTTGGCATTTTAGGTCTCTGTCCCACAGCCAGTGGCCTGGTACACCCAGCCCAGCCTGGTGTGGTAAAACGTGTGCTCCACTCCTATGCCCTGGCCAAAGATCTTGGTTTGCAAAATGCCTCTTAAGCAGGATTCTAGCATGTGAGTGCTGGAAGAGCCCCTAATGGCCCTCCAGCCCACCCTCCTTGTTTTCGGTTAGGAAACTGAGGCCCACAGAGGATCAGGATTCCTCCAGGCCGCGTGGGCAGTTAAGCAGAACTGAGATCTGAGCTGTATTCTTTAACATGGGCCTCATGCCCAATCCTCCATCCACCCCATAGAGAGGAAAGAGAAGCCCCTTTCCCACCGCCACTGGAAGGGGGCTGCCACGTGTTTGAGGTCTGCAGGGCTCGTGGGGAAGTGGAAAGGATTATGATAAGAAGCGGCTGGAGAAAGGACCTTGGTGGATTCTCAAGCATGTAATGAGCATCAACTCATTATCGTCTCTTCATTCTCCTTCCTCCAGGGCCCTGAGGTCTCATCTGTAGCGCGAGCTGCTGGCACAGATGCCTGAAAGAGAGAGCAGAGAGTGTGTGATTATGAGCACGGCCTCTAGAGCCAGACCGGGTTTGAGTCTCAGATTTGCCACTTACTAGCTCTGTAAGTGAGTTAATAGCAAATGACTTAATAGCCTGGGTCTCGGTTTATTCACGTGTAAAACAGGATGATAGCAGCACTGTCCAGTCTGGGGTGTTGTGAGGAGTAAATGGGTTAATGAATGAGTTAATATCTGCAAGGTGATGAGAACACTTCTACTGTGGCTGGTATTTTGTGTTTATTATTGCTGTGAGGGCTGCTCTGTGGGAAGACCAGTCCCCCCCAGGGGTAAGTATCCAAAGGGGCAAAGTTGGGGTGGAGACCAGTCATGTCTCACCAGCTTCCACCTTCACACCACCCCAGTGCACACTCTGGTCTCCCCCACCATCAAAATGTACCCTGAGGAAAAACTCTAGAATTCAGTCACAAACACATTCCCCTCTAGCTGTTTCCAGTAGGAAAGAAATCTCTTAATAAAGAGATTGTGGGGCCGGCCGAGTGGCGCAATGGTTAAGAACTCGCTTGGGATGCCAGAGGGCCCCGGTTCGGATCCCACATATGAGGGCCAGTGACACTGCCCTCCACAGCTAAGATGCTGAACAACAGCTCAACCTGGAGCTGGGCTGCCATGAGTCGCCGGCGACGGCGTGGGCTGCAGTCCCTGT